GTAAACTTAGGTTAGGTAGTCGTAAACCAAACGAAAGTTAGGTACGAGTTTACCTTACTTACTAACAACAACAGACTACGGTAGTAAAGTAAAGTAAGTGAACACACACACACACACACACACACACACACACACACACACACACACAATGGAATACTACTCAGGCATAAAAAAGAATAAAATAATGCATTGTACAGTAACATGGATGGACCTGGAGATCATCATTCTAAGTGAAGTAAGCCAGAAAGAGAAAGACAAATACCATATGATATCACTCATATGTGGCCTCTAACAAAAGGGACACAAATGAACTTATTTACAAAATAGAAACAGACTCGCAGACATAGAAAACAAACTCATGGTTATGAGGGAAAGAGGGTGGGAAGGGATAAATTGGGAATTCGAAAGTTGCACCTCTTGGGGAGTGATGGAAATGTTAGCTGTCTTGATTGTGGTAGTGGTTTCACTGGCATATACAACCATCAAAATTCATCAAAGCATATATCTGAAATATGTGTAGTTTACTGTATAGGAACCATGCCACAACAAAGGTGTTAAAAAAAAGCAGTATGGTACTGGCATTATAAACAGATACGTAGATCAATGGAACAGAATAGAGCCCAGAAATAAACCCCTGCAAAGATGGCCAGTTAGTTTTTGACAAAGGAGCCAAGAATGCACAGTGAGGAAAAGATAGCCTCTTCAATAAACAGTGCTGTGAAAACTGGATCTCTTAGTGCAAGAAATGGCACTGGACTCCTATTTTATACCATGTACAAAAACCAACTCAAAATGGATTAAAGACTTGAATATAAGACCTGAAACCATAAAACTCCTAGAAGAAAATAAATAATAAAAGCTACTTGATGTCAGTCTTGGCAATGATTTTTTTTCTTATTTGACACCAAGAGCAAAGGCAATAAAGGCAAAAAGAAACGAATGAGATGACATCAAACTAAAAACTTCTCAGCAAAAGAAACCATCAACAAAATGAAAAGATACCTACGGAATGGGAGAAAATGTTTGCAAAACACATATCCAATAAGGGGCTAATGTGTAATATATACAAAGAACTTAAATAACTCAACAGCAAAATAAGACAAAACAAAAAACCAAACAACCTAACTTTTAAAATGGGCAAAGGACCTGAATAGACATTTTCCCAAAGACATACAGGTGGCCAACAGGTACATGAAAAGATGTCCAACATCTCTAAGCATCAGGGAAATGCAAATCAGAACCACAATGAGATATCACCTCACACCTGTTAGGATATCCAGTATCAAAAAGATAAGCCATAACAAATGCTGGTGAAGATGCGGAGCAAAGTGAACCCTTGTGCACCGTTGGGGTAAACTGGCACAGCTGCTATCCAAAACAGTATGGACATTCCGCAGGAAATTAAAAATAGAACTGCCAAATGATCCAGCAACCCCACTCCTGGATATACATCCAAAGGAAACAAAATCATTATTTCAAAGAGAGATCTGTACACCTAAACTCATTGCAGCATTATTCACAACAGCCAAGGCATGACAACAACTTAAGTGTCCTTCGATGGGTGAATGGATAAAGAAAATGTGGTACACACACACACACAGTGGAATATTATTCAGCCTTTAAAAAGAAGAAAATCCTGCCATTTGCAACAACATGGACGGACCTTGAAGGCATTATGCTAAGTGGAATAAACCAGCCAGAGAAAGACAAATACTGCATGGGATCAATGATATGTGGCATCTAAAGAAGAAAAAAGAATGTTGATTGTACAGAAACAGACAGATGAATGGTGGTCACCAGGGCTGGGGTGAGATGGGGGAAGGAAAATGGGGACAGGATGGTTGAAGTGCATAGCCTTTCCATTATAAGATGAAAAAGATCCGAGGAGCTAGTGCCGAGTATTGTTAGTTGATAATACTGTATTGCATAATAAAAATTTGCTGAGAGGGTACAATTTAAGTGTTCTCACCAAAAAAAAAAAAAAAGTAAAATGTGTAAGGTGATGATTAATGAACTCAATTTGGAAATCCTTTCATAGTGCATATACATGTATCACATCATCACATGGTACATTTTAAATACGTTACAATTTTATTTGTACCCTGGTACCTCAGTAAAGCTCACAGAATGTCATCTGATTGAAGTCAATTAGAAAAAGATACGTATGGGTGGGGTGTGTATACGCATCTTTCAGGAAAGAAAGTGAGGCAAAGGAGGAAAAACACGTAAGTGTTAGAAATAGTAAGATAACCTTAATAGTAAGATGACTCTGATATCTATGGTTAAGATAACCTGTAATATGTAGCAAACACAGATTATAGTAAAATGACATGAATTGATAATAATTGTGTAATTGCCTAATAACATGATAGCAAATCTTGTTTATTTTTTAAGTTTCCTGTATAACAGTGGTTTATAATGTAAACTTCTATAATTTACAGCATTTTAAATCTTTTAAATATATATTTAAGGCTCTGCAGTGTTCTTACTCATGATTTTAGTCTTTAGTTATTAAAGTGTATTTGGTCATGTACTAGAATTTATTCATAGAGTCCATCCTTCATTATAGACACCTGTGGAGGGCACAGGACACAGACTTTACCCAGTGCCTGTGCTTCGGGCAGGGCTTCTGCCGGGGGACTCAGTGCAGGATGTGGCTGTATGTTTGGAGGACATTCAGTTTAGTTTCCTCCCAAATTTATTGCTCGTTGAGGCTTTTGGAGTTGTTTCAGTTGGATGGAAAACGGAGGAAGTTATGTCAGATGAATCATTTCACTGTGTGTTGCTTTACAGAATCACTTCCCCTGAATAATTAATAAAAGATTGACAGGAAGAACTTCCCTGGAATAATTAGCAGGCAATTTCAGAATGGGAACTTTTCTTTTGCTCTTTGTTCAGTCAAACTGAGCACTTAGTTTTTGCCATTGGAGGATTTGGGACAGAGACGGAGGAAGCCTCAGAGCAACCGCAGAGCTGCTGAAAGTTAGAACAGGGCGTGTGGATGCCCAGAGCAGCGCCCCTGTCCTCCTACCAGAGAGATGCCCCCAAATCAGCCGTGACCTTGGGAGGATCCCTGCCTGCCCCTCAGGGTGACAGCCCAGAATCATCTTTCTCACACACTGCTTTTGGCTGCGGCTCTGACTGGCATCTTTGTAGTGAGATGAAGTTTCCCGTTTCTAGGTCAGATATGTCAGGCAGTGCACATTTAAGGAGCATAAGGGATTTTTTTTTTTCTGTTTTTACATAAGATGGTGCAACAAGTTTTCAGGGACTCTACCAGGAATCCTGAGTTCTGTTTGGTCATGAAACACTCAGAGCTCACCCTGTATCTAATTGTCCAGAGCTCCACAAACGCTTGGAGAACAAGAAATGCATTTGCTTTTTGGATCAAAGTGCTGACCTGACCGCAGCCCCCGTTTTGCCTTCCTGCGCCTTTTTATATTTTTACTTTTAATCTGATTTTGTTCCTTCTGGCAGTTATACTTCCATGTCTGTTCTCCTCAAGCAGAATAATGTTTGCTGATTCAACTGTCATGCTGACATTTGTTGCAACTTTATTAATTATCTTGATAATATGATTGATATTGAAAATATAACTCGGGTACTCATTAGTTGGATGGCCTCATGCAAGTCATTTAAATTCTTTGAACTTCAGTTTGCCTGACTGTAAAAGGGGGATTCAGCTGGAATATTTCTAGTTCCTTTGGTGTCCACACGCTATGATTCTGAAGGGCCTGGGGCAGTTGGGGGGGGGCGACTGTTCACAGTTTGATGGGGAGGTAACCAAGGGCTCCTTCAGTACCACTCCGGAGATGCTGCCTCCTCCTTTCTGTGCCCTCCTCCCTCTCCCTCTCCCTGGAAACTTGGTTTTGTTTTGTTTTTCAACCTGTGTTAGGAAGGGGAGCCGTATGGGGGATGCTTTGGGGCACGTGGGCTTTCCCATTCCCCCAGAGCATCAGGTGAGAGGTTGCAGGCTTTTCAGGTGGTCTGGACGACTCTGGGAGATTTGGACCCATCCCTGCTTGGGGCAGGTTTCTTCCCCAAACCTGGGATAAGGGGGTATCCTGTTCGTATCCCCCCCCCACAGTGTTCATCCACTTTTTTCAGTGTTGTTGGAAATCTTGCTGTTTTGACAGCCAACAGAACCGTTAATTTAGTGCTTCACAGCTTACGTGGTTAATTGCACGTACAGCTGATGGTCCTATCTCTTCTCTGTCGGGGTTTGGTTTGTTTGGGGGAAGTGAGGGGCCCAGCCGCCTCCTGCCAGGCCCCTGTGGGCTGCATGCTTGGTGTTTGCCCTCGGAGGGGACAGCATATGCCTCCAGGGCGGGAGCTGAGAGACTATCTCAGATGAAAGCCACGGGGCCTTAGCCAAACCCCATCGCCCCTGAGCTGCTCATGAGCACCACGGTGCCTCCCACCCCGGCGGGGGGGGGGGGGGCTTGAACTGATTCCCTGTAGCGGAAGTGAGTGCTAAGTATTATTACAGTAATAGGACGAGAGCCGCCGTTAGCGTTTTTAAGCCCCAGGGACACGTGAACATCAAAAGCTCACAGAGGTGCTAGTAACAGCTGCCCGAGGGCTGGGAGACTTGCTTGTGCACAATCCCCAGGCCGCCAGCATTTATCTCCTCGCTGCGCCAGTAATTTGGATGGCAGCAGTCTGAAAGCAGGCTGGGGATCTCGAAGGGGTGGTAATTTTTAAAAAATCCTTTTCTTATGTGTTCATTTAATCAACACACATCAACTCAACGTCAAGATTTGCTCCTGGCAGGGGGCTGGGGACACCCTGGGGCTCAGCCAGCCCCCAGGGAGGGAGGAACAGTTCCGAGGGTGGGTGGGGGTGATTCCCAAGCTAACGGGAAGTGACAGGGTCCTGGGGCAGACAGATGGGCACAAGGGCTGGGAGCTCTCAGAGCCCTGGCACAGAGCCTGGTACCCTGGGGATGCCTCCCCCCACCCCTAAAAAAAGATTGTGGAATAAATGGATACGTGAATAAGAGGAAACAACAGTCGGAAAATCCAGATCCAGGTAGGGGTGGGGTAAGTCCAGTCAAGTCAGAGGTAGCCAAGCCCAGGAGACATCACCATGCGCCAGGCTGTGCGGCTTCGGAGGGACGGCACCATGGTGGCAACGGTCCCAGGCGCAGACGTGGGTTGATCACAAGAACCTAGGGTCCAAAAGGACGGGGAGACAAGCAGGCCCAGGTCCTGTGAAGTGAGCTGACCCAAGCAGCTCCTCTGAGCATCTGTGTGGAATCCTCTGGGCACCAGCCAAGGGGATTTGTCCTTTACTCAATCTGCACACACGCCGCACCCCAGAGCCCTGTCTCCTCTCCTTGGGCAGGCGCCTCCCATCTTCCCCAGGTTTTCTGACTCATCTTTCCATTTCCATCTTTGCTGTATGTTTTATCAATAATTTTTCATTTACTTCTTCCAGCCATGATTTGGTGGTTGGCATTGGCCCAGATTTTTAGAGCAGGAAGCTAGGCTCAGAGAGGTTAAGTAGCTTGTCCGAAGTCACACAGCCAGTCAAGGTGAGAGCTGGGAGTGGGAACCGGGCATAGGAACTGGATTTGTTCTCCCCACCAAGGCATTTCAGATTCAGAGTCTCCAAGCTGGGAGGGATCTTGGGGGTCATGCAGAGGAATCCTCTGAATAATTAATTATTAATGCAGGAATCCTTTTCCAGCATTCTCCCTAAGTAGCTTATGCGCTTGCTTAGGGAAATCACAAACGAAGATGAAAAGAAAGAGGAAGGGAAAGAGGGAAGAAGGAAGAAACAAGAAAAGGGGGGGGAGAAAACAGAAGTTCAGCATCAATGGACATATTTAGGATTTTATTGAGAAAAACCTTAGCCAGCAGCTACTTTAATTTCAGCATACCCGAGCATCTTTTATTTTAGGGTCAGTGTGGCTGCATCTGGAGACAGCCTCGGTGCCTTCTCTGGGCTGAGAGTCTCTGTCTGAAAGCCTGGGCTGCTCAGCTGTGTCCGGGCCCCTTTCTCTAAGATGTGCCTTTCCGTCCCAGGCAACACTTCGTCTGCTCTTGTCAAAGGTCCCAGTTTGCGGTCCTCGTAAGGAGCCTCCTCTGCCACCTCCCCCAGTCTGACCCGATGTCAGTCTCCGCCCAGGGGAGCACCCAGCGGGCCTGCCCAAGCTTCTGGAGCGAGACTAAACCAGGGAGGAGGTAGGAAGCAGGCCACGGGCACCCCCACCGGCTCAGAGAAGGGCTGGGGGTGCCGGGACCTCGGGAAGACAGAAACTCCTGGAGCTGGAATGAGCTGCAGGCAGGTGACCTGGTTACTTCCCGAGGTATGTGGGGCGAGACAGCTTTCAGACCTAGAAGAGGGGCAAGTCTGTCTAAATCTCCTGGTTTATAGAAATATGGGCTTTTGTCCTGTTTACCCAGGAGCCTCTCTGGGGCTCCAGGTGAGTGGGGGACCACCTGCAGGCAGCACCTCTGCCTCCTGAATTGCTGACAAGGCTGTGACAGGTCAGGGCTGCCACCCAGCGCCCCCTAGTGCCCGGAGGTGGGCTAAACAGCAGAGGGAATCTAAGACCCAGGGAGGCAGGCTCCCTGTCCGCCCTCAGGATGCTGAGAGTCTAGAGCAGGGTCCAGTTAGAGGAGAGCTCAGGGCTAAGTTATGTGCAAATAACTGCAAGGGTAAGAGGGGAGAGGCCAAGAGTTGTTTTTTTTTTAAGGGGGTACTGGGGATTGAACCTAGGACCTCACCCATCCAGTGATCATGCCAGTCCTGCAGGATTCGTCTCCTTACTCCCCTTTCTCAGGCCACTGATGTCTCAGGAAAGGATGAGGCTCAGGGAATAATTTGCCCCCGGTCATCAGCCAGTGAATAATTGAAACTTGACTCAAATTCAGATCTGATTTTAAACTACAGGGGCTTCAACTGCTCCCCTCAGGGCACCCCCCGTTTCTTCGCTTGGGCTGCTGTAACAAGGGGCCCACCCTGGGTGGCTTGGACCACTCAGACTTGTGTCTTGTGGTTCTGGAAGCTCGAAGTCTGAGATCCAGGTAAGGGCAGGGCTAGAGAGAGTCCTCGAGGCTGCTGCAGGGTTTCCTGCCCTCTGTCCCCACCTGGCCTTCAGCCCTCTGCGTCCGTCTTGGGGGGTCTTTCTGCTCCCCTTCTAAGGACTCCAGTCCTACTGCATTAAAGGCACTTCGATAACCGCATGACCTCATTGTAACCTGATCACATCTGCAAAGATGCTTCCCAAATAAGGTCACATTCACAGGCACTGAGGATCAGCAGGGACCTCAGTGCATCTTCCTGGGGGGACACAGTGCAACCCAGACACTCCTGCAGAGAAGGCAGTCTAACTGGTGAGGGAACCAAGAGTGGGAGATTCGACGATGCGCCCAGGCAGCCAGCTGGCCCTCACCACCTCTCTGACACTGTGAAAGGACCAGGTAAAGTGATCTTGTGGGCAGAGGAGAAAGTGCACAGACCATAATGCACACTGGGGAGGAGTTGGTGGAAAGCTGATATTTAAATCTTTGATGTGTTTGTGCAAATACAACATAAAGAAGGGAAAAGGTCAGTGGGAGCCAGAGGGGAGGGAAAAAGAGGGGCCAGCCATCAAACCCCACAGCCCCGGGGTGGCTGTTCATTTATCCCATTATTAAACACGTCCGTCCCCATGTGCAGACTGAACAGTGACGTGTTGGTCATCTGGTAAGTTTCAACGAGTGGTCACATTTATAAGTGCGTGTTTGTGTGTTCAGATGCCCAGTTGACTTTTTTTTCCCTCCTGTCTTCTGTTATATGTCTTCGGATAAATCCGAAAGATAACTTGGCTCCACAGTCTTGCAAGAACCAAGATTTTGGCCTGCTTCTTTTGGACATCAGTAGTCAGTTTATTAGACTAACTTCCTTTGGGAAAAACTAGAATTAGCTAGGCAAGAGGAGGAAAAGTGTATAGGAAAAATGTAACTAATTATACTAAACATAATATGATCATTCAGGTCATCTCTGGAAATTACTAGCAAAAATATAGTTCATATACTAATAGACAGGTCTTGGTTAAATATCCATCACCTTCGAGCTCTCCCGTGTCACTGTAGTCTCAAGAAAACAACATGACAACCAGAAAATGGCAAAGGGAATTCTGTGAGGACATGGACTGTTGCACCACCAGGGAACAGGAGACCTGTGTTTGCAGGAAGACCCCCGAAAGAGAAGGTGTGCGTTGCTACAACATTCCGGGTTGAGCACAAATCTTCAGCTATTAGGCACTTCAAACGAGACATCTTCCCAGTTCCCAGATCTTCTCTCCCTTTACATTTCTGACGCCAGTGCCCTCACCTCCTCAGTCATCCTCCCTCGTGGTTCAGGGCTGCCCTGCACTCCTCCCCAGACCCCCCACCTGCCATACCTGGCACGTTCACAGCTCCTGCCTTCTATCCGACAGATGAGTACATAGGAGCTGAGTTCAGTCCTGGCTGGTATGTTAGCGTGTTACATTTTCAGGCATGTGACAGAACAGTTACCAATTTTCTCCTCCAATTTTGAGGACAATACATATCTTTGTGAGTCAATGAGCACGTCTGGCATCACCCCTTTGTGCACCTCTCCCAGCTGACCTCTTGGTGTTGACAGGGCATCAGCCCATCCAAGCTCTGATCCCAGACCCTGTCTCCTCTCTCTCATGACCTTGGTCCTAGGTTGGCTCAGGACCCAGAAGACCACCTCCTCTTTTCTCTAAACGTTTGCAGCTTGCCACAGCCTCCAAAAGGGGCCCCTCTGAGGGCCAGGTGGTGCCTCTTGTCTGGCCCCCTTTTTCCTCCTGAAACTACATGGACAGTGAGTGCCTGATCCGGGCCCCCGCTACGCTTCTGTGCCTCACTGGGTCCCTGCACTACGAGGTCCGTGCATAGATGCTGGCAGCAGGTACTAATCCCGAGACGTTAAGGGAGACGTCCACCTTTAGCCTCTCTCGCTGAATCCAGGTGCACCATGATTTAAAACCCAGTCCTGGGTAGTTCCTGTCGTGCAGGGAATGTACAGACATACAGCCCCCAAGCTCTCTCGCCTGTGACCACAAGCATTGAAAGAGCATTTTAAACCCTGAAAGGGGACAAATATGAGAAGTAGCTGAGCTTTTCAGTATTTCCCATTAGCAAGCTGCACCTTGAACATTCAAAATACAGCTCTCCCTGGACTTACAATGGGGTTACATCCCTAATAAACCCATCGTTTCAACTTAGAAAACATTCTAATTTGAAAATGTATTTACAGACCTGACCTAGCAAAATCATAGCTTAGATTTGCCCACCTTCAACGTGCTCAGAACATGTCCATTAGCCTACAGTTGGGCAAAATCATCTTGCACAAAGCCTGATTAATAAGAAAATGTTGACTGTCTCATGTAATTTACTGAACACTGTACTGAAAGTGAAAAACAGAACAGCTATCCCGGTCCAGAATGGTACATGTATGGGATGTTTCCCCCGTGATCGCGGGGCTGACTGGGAGCCGAGGCTCACCGCCCAGCATCCAAGGAGAGGGTGGAGGAAGGCACCCCATAGCGCTCGCCTGGGAGGAAAGACCACAGCTCAGCACTGGAAGTACGGCTTCTACTGAATGCACATCACTTTCAAACCATTGCAACGTCAAGAAGTCGTTAAGTTGAATTGTGATAAGTAGGGAATTGCTTCCTATGCTCCTAGTCCCAGGACTAGGCATTGATCAAGACCTCCACCATCAAGGGAAGCAGAAAATTAGGAAACCACAGCCCGTTTATTTTAAAGAGCTGCTCCTCACCAGAGAGCACACGTAATTAAGCGAGCCTCTCTCTAAATCAAAGCTAATTTATAGGAATATAAATTATATACACCAATTTATATGTATAACTGAATCACTTTGCTGTACACCTGAAACTAACATCATAAATAAACTACACGTCATTAAATTTTTTAAAGTAAAAAATTTGGGATCAAATAAAAAATCTATACAGTCCACCAAGACTGAATCAAGAAGCAACTGATCACTTGAACAAACTGATCACTAGAAATGAAATCGAATTAGCAATAAAAAACCTCCCTAGAAATAAAAGTCCAGGACTGGACAGCTTCACCGGGGAATTCTATCAAACACACAAGGAAGAATTCATACCAATCCTTCTCAAACTCTTCCAGAAGACTGAAAAGGAGGGAATACTCCCAAACTCATTCTATGAAGCCACCATCACCCTGATACCAAAACCAGGCAAAGACACCACCAAAAAAGAGAATTACAGACCAATATCGCTGATGAACATAGATGCAAAAATCCTCACCAAAACACTAGCAAATAGAATCCCACAGCACATAAAAAAGATTATACATCATGATCAAGTGGGGTTCATCCCAGGGACACAAGGGTGGTTCAACATACACAAATCAATCAATGTAATACATCACATCAACAAGAGAAAGGACAAAAACCACATGATCATCTCAATAGATGCAGAAAAAGCATTTGATAAAATTCAACACTCCGTTATGATAAAAACTCTCACCAAAGTGGGTATAGAGGGGATATATCTCAACATAATAAAAGCTATATATGACAAACCTACAGCCAGCATAGTACTCAATGGTGAAAATCTCAAAATCTTCCCACTAAAATCTGGGACAAGACAAGGCTGCCCACTATCACCACTCCTATTCAACATAGTCTTGGAAGTCCTGGCCACAGCAATCAGGCAAGAGAGAGAAATCAAAGGGATCCAAACTGGAAAAGAAGAGGTAAAAGTGTCACTATACGCAGATGACATGATACTATATATAGAAAGCCCTAAAAGGTCCACACAAAAACTACTAGAGCTGATCGAAGAATTCAGTAAGGTAGCAGGTTACAAGATTAATGTTCAAAAATCAGTTGCATTTCTTTACACGAATGATGAATCAACACAAAAAGAAAGTAAAGAAATAATCCCCTTTAAAATAGCACCCAAAGTAATAAAATA